CCTATATGGTTGGGAAGTTAGTTGGTTTGGTGGTACCAAAACTACCAACTGATTTTTTAGGGCAAAAGAATTAGGGATTAGTTGGGGTGGTGGCAAGCAGCTGATTCGCGGTTCGGCACACACCTAACTTACTATTCTAAAAAGTTCTTCATACATTAAAATTCGTGTTTGTGAAATCGTATTTTACTGACGATCGGAAAAATTTCATGTCGAAGTGCACACAGATAGGTGATTTTAAACGATATGAAATGATTAAATCATAGTTGTATAAAGTACTTTGTTGTTAGATTTTTCGGTACAACCTCCTGTACGATTTTAGGATCGTTGATTACAAAACTATCTTACACCTTGATAGAAGGACTTTTTATTATTATCCTAATTTACTTTTTATTTGAGACATGGTAAATAGTGGTGATGATATTCCATTATCACCGTGCAAATCTTTTTATAGAAATATCATTTATTATTCTCTTACGAATTTGTAAAGTTTCTATAGAGAATCATACAAAATTTATTCAATTTCTGATTTTTTTTTGCTCAAAACATTACTTGTATAAACGAGTCAAACAAAAATACAACCAATTCACAACTAGTCAAAGCCATCGGCAATTTTGAAAAATAGACTGACATGATATAAAAACTGACGAGTCGTACTAAACACGGCACGAAATAAATGAGCGCTAAACATGCACGTATTGTACCGGCCCAAGCATGACCTAGCATCACTCATTTCATGTAACTAGAAAAGTAAAGCATCTATTCTTTTTCAAAGAATGAAGAAATGAATTGTGTACCAGAAAATAATTAAAAATAAGAATACTTGGAGCTACAAACAAATCAATAATAAATCGTTATATCAAATTTCATCCTCAAGATATTAGTCATTGCAAGTTATCATGGATGGAAACTCACTTTATTCCGTGGTTAGAGTCGGTTTTGTAATTTAGTATCTTTGGTTACCGCCTCCTTGCCATATATGAAAAAAAGTTGAGGAAACTATTTTCGTAGTTGATTGATACTCATTGAAGGATACTTGATTATTTATAAATTATAATCAAATTGTGATACCATATACATGATTTACCATCCAATTTCAATCCTAACAAAGAGTGTACTGATTACTAACCAGCAAAAAGATTAAGTGCCACTATCTAATTTAGGTCTATACTAGCTTTGATCCCGACCATTGGCTGGGTGAATTTCATTTAAACATTAAATTAATTTTGAAACTTTTTGTTCATATTCTTGAAACTCACGTTAATTTCGTGCATACACTACATTAATATTAAATAATTTGTTGCCGTACTTGAATCATTTTTCATATATTATAAAAAATTTGTTATTCTTTGTGTATGACCCGAGTGTATGGTTTGAAAATTTGACTCGTAAATATACATAGCTAATTTAGTTCCTCCAGGGACACCCACGATATTGATACAATATAAGTTAATTTATAAGTGAAAACATACAACTCTTAATTGAGATATATTAACTTTTGGATAAATGTATAACATGATCATGTTATAATATTTAAATTTTTTTATCATCAAACTCATAATAGTTCATTTATCCAATCTTGAATCAGGTGGAGATAAAGTTTTTAAAATCATTTTATTTTCAAATGGTGGTTCGTGAAATCTCCGTACATGAAACACTAAAATTAAATATCTAAACAATACATGTCATTTCATAATTTTCGAAATTTCAAATAACGGACCGTTAATGTTTAAAATATTGGGACTCAACATCACCCAACATAATCAAATGATTATGCTATGCAATATACACTACAACTTGCCCGTGCATATGAAATATTTTTTATTTATTACAAATACGGTGACAAACTTATATATAGTTTAAATATATAATATATGGTAGTAATATTTTTAGATGGTAAGGAATATAACTTATATCTAATTTAGGTCTATATTATTGTGGACCAAACTTAAATATGGGCTTACACGGTCTTGGGCCATGAGAGCTGTATAGGCCTTATTTGAGTTTCATTGCCCTTCTGGGCTTATTCGGCGGTTGAACTTCCCTCTCCCTCTCCGTCTCCGTGTCAGCCGTGACAATCCTTTCATTCTCCTGTAAAGAACACCGAAGGGGAAACTGGGGAGTGGAGGAACCTACCGAGGGTTTGGGCTTGTACCAGAACCCAGCTCAGGGTTTTACAGAGCTCCATCGATAAAATTCTTTGCTTCAAGAAAGAGGGAAGAAGGTACTAAAGCGGGTAAAGTGAAAGGGGTTGTGGGTTGTGGAAAGAGGAAGCAGGAAGTAAATGGCGGTCAGCAGCAACGAGAGAAAGCCCTTTGGAGAAGGGATTCGATGGGAGAATCCCTTTACTTTCAAAGTGGGTCAGGTGTTCACTGGCTTTGGCATCGGTTGCGGGGTTGGTATTGGCCATGGTCGCCCCATTCATCTCGGTACTTCCCCCCACTTTTTCTTTTGTTTCTTCCAACATTGGTGCTGTCTCTACAACTGGGAAGTTGAGATGAATGTTGGAAGCTTCTTCAAGTTAAAAAATGGTGAAATCCACCAAAAATTTCATCATCAGACGCCTTGTAATCGATCTTTTTGCTTACTCTTGTCTGACTTTCTTTCTCTAGAATTGTTAGGTTGCAATTATGTGTGGAATATGTGTGTAGTTTGTTTCACTGTTAGCACTTTTGTATTGGACGAACTGCAGCTCGGAGTTATTAATCCAATGTTGGAGGAGGATTTCATGCCCTAGTTGTAAGTTCCTTTCGTATGTGGGGTTCATGACACGCAGCGGATGAAACCTTGCTTCAAGGCCAAACCTTCGAATCGGGCTCGTCTGGGAATTTTAGTTTGGAGTGCTCCTTTATGACAACTGAACACAATCAAATGTCTATTTGGTTTTTATTTGATTTCCGTGTCATAGAATTTCAGCGATTTGTTTCGCAAAATTTCCTTCACGCACACTGATTTCTTGTCATACTTTGTGTAGTTAGTGACCTGAAAATGTTGGTGTGATCCACACTCTTAGGTGCCTTGCCGATGGTGAATCAAGTCCTCAGTGCAACTAGAGGTGCCACAGATGCTTTCTCTGGTTTTAGCAGACATGTAAACGATGCAGTAAGTAGAATTATTGATTTAATTTTATCTGCCCTTTTGTCATTTCACACTAGTCTGATTCAGATTTACTGTCAAAGTCTCATTTCTTATTTTCCAGCTAAGGAAGGTGGGAGCTAAGAACATTGAGGCTGGCGTTGGTTGTGGAATTGGTTTTGGCCATGGATTCGGAGTTGGTAGGTCGTGTTCTGTGTATGGAGTATGTTGGACATATCTGGTGGCTATCTGTTCATATTGCATTATCTGCTTAGTTGATCATTTAATGACTGAAGAGCGATTCTGAGTTACCATGGGCTAAAAACTTGACCTTTACTGGGCAGGCATTGCTGTGAAACCAGGGGTGTTGCAGAGAATTCAAGTTTGCTTTCTGGTATTTTACAAAGTGTTGTATGTCCACTTACTATGAACTTTCATTCCGTCACTATTTCTCTTACTGAAATTTGATTTTTAACTTCCTAGGAAGCAATGACGACAGTTATGATGAAACTTGGAGGAGTTCCTAATATGTCAGCTATTCAAGGCGGGCTCCCAATATCGTTGCCTGGTGGCATCAGTTTGGCAAGTGGACCAACAAGCAACAGTCCTGCAACTCCTATCACTCAGCTTGGAGGGAACTTTCCAGACTTATCGCTTCAAGGTCTTCCCGGAAGTGGAAAGGTCAACCGGCACTCTACTTATACAACTCAAGCATCAGAAATGGGTCTAGCCGATTCATCCTTTAGTAGAACTGAAAAAGTTCTCAGCAGCTTTCTGCAGAACCCAATGCTTAGAGAAAACGACCCTGCCCTGAAGCAAGCGGTATGTGTGATCCATTGCATCGACCATCTTTGATGGGCTATGAATTTGTCACTGATTCTTTGCCTAACATATGCAGGCTGGCCGTTTGCAGTCAGAAAACAGCATGCTTCAAATGGTAAGTCTTTGGGTTAATCAGCCGCTTCTCTACTTGGTTATTCCATCACATTGAATGAACATTTTAATTTTTAAGTTCATTATGTCGCTAAGAAGTTAATTTTGCTATGGCCATTCAGGTGCTGAAACACCAGCAGATCATTGAAGAGCTAGTGGAAGAGAACAAGAAGCTTCGTCAAATCCTTTTGGAAGACCTCAAAGTACCATCCAGTAAAATTCAGGATAGTTACAGAGTTCAGTCACCATGTATAGAATGTTTTGATTGTCGAAGGAAACAAAGGAAAAGAAGATGAAAAATATCTATAGCTTTAAAAAACCATGATCATACTAATATTCTGGCCTGCTGTACTAGTAAAATTGCTTTTGTCCCTCTTTGGCTGTTACACGTTACAACCATACTCTGCACTGCTGCACTATGATTTCCAGGTAATCGAAAATCGCGAGGGAAGAAAGAACTTCTTTCCTAATTGTAACTCTATCTTGTTAGCTGTTGGATAGACGAAAGGTAATCAAATTATTCATGTGAGATTTGCCCTTCAGTTTACTCCTATATAACTTGTTAATTTCAAGCTTAATCACAATTTCTGAGTTTCCATGTTGCATCTTCCCTTTTCTATAGCATTATCGTCCTCCAGCAGCACTTCCAGAATGCAAACGAGTATTATTTTACTTCGGCTCAATTGCAAGTTTGGTCACTCGAATTACTATAAAATTTCACGTTTGCCACTCAAATTAATTTATTCTATTTATAGTCACTCGAATTAGTAGAACAGTTCAAGTTCGGTCATTCTTCGTTAACTTTGACTGACGTGGTAGTCAACTCTGACAGTTGACCGTTAAATGTGTGACGTGGCAAATAAAAAATAAATAAAAAAATAAAAATTAAATTTTTAGAAATTACACATCATTATCACTAAAAATTATAATTATAAAAAATGAAAAAAAGAAATTATCACAAAAAGAAATTACACATCATTATCACAAAAAAATTATCACAAAAAAAACAACACAAAATTCCTTCCAGATACCACAATCTGCTTCAGCCTGCTGTTATCTTCCTTGAGGTAATTCAGCTCAAGTTCCAGCTCCATTGTATATGCCTGTTTCCTAGCCCTCGACCTTGCTGCAGATTCTCTGTTCTTGATCATCCTACGCTGCCTTCTCTCCACCAAAACCTCCGGCGACCCGTCGATGATTCTGCTAAACTCACTCGACGATGCTTCCCCAACATTATAAGCTATGGTAGGGTTCATCATTTATGTGGTAGGAACCAAAGCAGCCGGTCACATTCGAGAAGTTGTTACCATGGAAAGACCCTAATGTTGGTGCCTCCAGTTTCAGCTGATGTAGCACTGTAGATGATGATGATGGTGAAGTAGTTGCACTGCTTGGTGGTAATTTTGCAGCAGCTTCTTGAACTACACCGGCTTGTACGAAGAATTCCTCCAATGTCATGTTTCCTAAAGACTGTTGTCTCTCATGGTCATGGGGCATCACATTGGTGCTATACGTCTGCGGGTTTCAAGTGACTGGGGAAATGGATGGTCCTCCATCCATAGTGGACCACGTAGTAGCGGCCGTCTCGGCCACCGATGGCGTTGCGGTGGGATTGCCAGTTGGGGTCGCATCGCCAGCAGTCGTCGATGGGATTGCCCGTGGAACAAAACAAGACAAGTATCCCATTCCCAACTTCCTTCTCGCCGTGCTGTTCCTAATGCTCCTGTAAACAAAGATTCATGGTACGTAACAGATTAACAGCTAATCTAAAGAGAGTGGAGCAATTATGGTTGGGAAGGATTCTTTTTCTCATTTTTTATAATTATAATTTTTTGTGATAATGATGTGTAATTTCTAAAAATTTAATTTTTATTTTTTTAATTATTTTTTATTTGTCACGTCACACATTTAACGGTCAACTATCCGAGTTGACCGCCACGTCAGTCAAAGTTAACGGAGGTTAACGGAGAGTGACCGAACTTGAACTGTTCAACTAATTCGAGTGACTATAAATGGAATAAATTAATTTGAGTGGCAAACGTGAAATTTTATAGCAATTCGAGTGACCAAACTTGCAATTAAGTCATTTTACTTCATTCCCCATGTCTATGCTATCTGCTACATTAGTAGTTGAGAATGAGGCTTAGTTCCATACGATACTAAAGCATTAGCTGTGAATGAATAGAGGTCGGATGGTTGTATCGGATTTGACGAATCGGTATCTGTGCTTATTAAACAGGATATAAATCTACGTTGGCTGTATCGTATAGTTGTGTGATGTATGTAAGGTTGGCTGAGAGATCTCAGTGCAGCTCGCCGATGTTATGATCATGGAACTCCAGCACTGGTTGAGGCTGAGGATGCAGGGGAGGGACTGGTTCATGTGGCCATGATAGAAACCAACTTTAGTTCGGTTTCTATATTTATTATAATATTAGGATAATTAGTCTTTTAGTCGTATTAGGTTATTTGTTAGGGTTTTCTGGTTCTTTTCCTATATATGTACGTTGTTATTCGTCTATTCAATCAAGAAGAAGAATATTAAGAAAACTCTCCTAAACCCTAGTCTCTCAATCCTCTCAATTCTTGATCTTAATCCCTCTAAGGCCTAGGCCGATTCTATTCTTGTTCTTCCCCAAATTCTCAATCTCTATCCCTAATTTCTTCTCAATCCCTAAAATCTCCTTCAATCTCCAATTTCCCAACACAATCAATAGAACCCTAAAAATAGGTTTCTATCATCTGGTATCAAAGCCCCGTTCTGATTCAATTGGATCTTTGTTCAATTGAATCCTTCTATCCTTGGATCCATCTACCCTCCACCACTACCCTCCACCTCGCACAGGTCCATATTCCCAAATCCAGTAACACAACAACCCTCGTCTCTTGTTTACTACCCACAAAGAAAGGGAATTATTATTCCTTATATTTGGTCACCAGCAGAGGGTTCTAGGTAGGGAATTGTTTCCCTCAAGCAATTCCCGTCGCAGCGTTAAGCCCATCTCCCGGCGACAAGCTTCCGGATTTCACAGGCTGCACAGTGACAATATTCCAGAGAGGGATGGCAATTAACTCTTTTGAGACCCTTCCTGCTATGATGGCTGCGGTTGAGGCCACCCTCACTCAAGCAATCTCCCAGCAATTCACGGAACTCCGTGCAATGATCGCGGACCTCGCTCAATCCACCACCTCCAAGTACCAAGCTCTCGAGCAAAGGGTTGAAGCCCTCGAACAACTTCCGGCTTCGTCTGCTACAACAAAGGAAGTGCCAATCACTCCATCAGCCAAGTTGATCGATGTTTCCCCACCTCCAACGATGGCAGACAATGAGATGCTAAAGAATAACTTGGCGGATGAATCTGCCGCTCAGCCAGCCAAGGTGATGACTCCGCAGCTTGGCAAGCAACCACTCGAAGTTGGATTTCCGTTGGTCAGCCGCCGTGGAAATTACATCAACTCAGATCCCGATGGGCAGCTTGACGACAACTTCGGGGATCAACAAGGCACCGACTTCTACACTACGCGTCAAAGGAAGTTGGCAAGCCAGGATTTCTCGGTCGATTGTGACACTGGGCCGGGCTGGGTTAGCCCAATTCGGAGTCCATATGAGTCGATTGGTTATGGGTCAAATTCCTCTATCAAATATGCACAACCAAGGCTGACAAGACCAGTCCAGCGAGGCGAGCCAAACTCGAACCGACAATGGTTCAATCCAATGGACCAGCATGAGTTGGATCACGATTCAACAAGGAGAAACAAACAGGCTAATTATCGTGTCTACCAGGGCCGCGCGACGACGTTGTTAAAGCCAGGACACGTGTAACGCGTGGAACAGAGCTGGAATGACTCATATGAAGATGAACGTGAGTATGATGATGACGGGTACTGGCCTCCGCCAAGACACTCCGAAGATCGCCACACTCCGCCAATCAAGACAGTTGCACGACGATTCAGCCATGATGATGGGAGTGGTTTCACTGGCTGCTCAAGTTATAGAGACAAGTGCGGGCATGGCTATCATTATCCTTTGGGCTCCATATATTGATAGGATTAGCATTATTTCATTTGGTCAACCTTGAGGACAAGGTTGGTCTCAAGGGGGAGGGGATGATAGAAACCAACTTTAGTTCGATTTCTATATTTATTATAATATTAGGATAATTAGTCTTTTAGTCGTATGAGGTTATTTGTTAGGGTTTTCTGGTTCTTTTCCTATATATGTACGTTGTTATTCGTCTATTCAATCAAGAAGAAGAATATTAAGAAAACTCTCCTAAACCCTAGTCTCTCAATCCTCTCAATTCTTGATCTTAATCCCTCTAAGGCCTAGGCCGATTCACCTTTCAAAAAAAAAAGGCCTAGGCCGATTCTATTCTTGTTCTTCCCCAAATTCTCAATCTCTATCCCTAATTTCTCCTCAATCCCTAAAATCTCCTTCAATCTCCAATTTCCCAACCCAATCAATAGAACCCTAAAAATAGGTTTCTATCAGGCCACCGGATTTTTCCTGTGCTCCATTGAAGTTTCAAGGTAGACAGATCGGTGGTGAAATTGGTGCAGCCTCTAAGGTCCAGAGTCAACCACTCCATGCCTGAAGGTAAATCAGCAATAGCCAATCTCTCGAGGGACGTGTATGCGCCCACTTGCAACTTCTTCAGTGATTTCAACCCTTCAAGCCCCTCGATCTCCCGCAGATTTGGAATGTCCCACACAATTAAGCGCTGCAGTGCTCTCAGCTTCGACAGTGAAGGTAGTCTCTGCACCGACGGCAAGTTGACCAGCACCAACTCCACCAACTCTGTCAGATTCTCAAGCCCTTCCAGCATGGTTGTTCCACTACTATCATTGCTGAACCTCAGTACCCCTCCTATCTGCAAGACTTTGAGCCTGGGTAGCTTGTACAGACGGGGTATCGAGCCACCATCAAGCCATGGACATCCATCGATTTGCATTTCCTGCAAAGAGTGAACAACTGCTGATTCTGATCTGCAGTACTCATCTAGTGCTGTAATCAGGAGAGGGCAGCGCCATATAATTAAGTTGGTCAGCTTGTAGTTACAAGAAGACATGAGATCCACAAGTCCATCCAGACTATTCAAACAACGCAAGGAAGAAATCTCAAGAGTCTGCAGCGCTTTCAACCTTCCAACCCCTTGGATCGCTTTGAGCTTGGCACACAGATTAAGTCTCAGTTCCGCCAAATTCTCCAGATTCTCCAAGTTAGGGAGCCATTCGAACGTTGTATAGTCGATGGAGAGCCTGGTCAGAGACGACGGGAGCAGGGTATCGTTAGGGTCCATGATAAGGTTCAGAGAGTACTCGATTGTCAGAGACTCCAGCTTGAATGACTTCCACCACATGCTGCTCGTCGAGGGGATCACGGTGATGAGAGCAAGTGTGTTGGGTTAGTCGTAGGGTTATGTTACATGGGTTGGGACTTGGGAGTTTAGTGGGTCTAGCAAGTTAGTAGTTAGTATGGGTTAAGTATGAAGTTGGGTCATGTGTTTTGGGTTATAAGTGTGTGGGCCTAGTAGTTAATGGCCGATTAGGAGTTTTGTTCTAGGTGCGGCCCAGTTGGCTAGAGTAGTAGTAGGGTTCCGGGTTAGTTAGGGTTACGTATTACGTTTAGTCGCCTATTGATGAACAGTTTCCCACTGCTCGCCTATGGTGATCTTGAGTGTGATTGGTCCGAGGACACGAAACTTTGTTCCTGGAACCCTACCAAGCTAGTGTTGGAGGGATTGAGGTCTTGGACGCTTTTCTTCATGCCTTTGAGCGCTGAGTAAAAGAGGATATCTACGGATCTCCCGTTATCTATGAGGGCCCGGGTGACCTTGAATTTGGCGGTTCTGAATGAGATGACCAAGGGGTCTTCTGTTTTTTCTTCCTTGGCCAATTCAGACGGCAAGAACGTGACGTCGGTTGGCACTTTGCGTTGGGCGCTGAGGTAGTGGGCTATGCGGTCTCCCTCCATCTTGGCCGCTTTCTGCCTCCCGCGATGGTTATGATCTCCATTCCATCGTCATCGTTGCACGGGGGTCTATAGATGGGAGACTGCTTCTAGGGAGAGTGACTTTGTTTCTCGAAAGTGATCTCGGCCTCTTTTTCCTCGACCTTTTTGCTTTGTCTACTTCGGGACTACAGGATCCCTCCCGCCTTTCTTGGGAATGGTCCCAATGTGGATGCTGTGTCTCAAGGCGGGTTCGAAGGTCTCCCGACACTAGATATCTGAGGCTGGCTTTGAACTCCCTACACTATGTGGTGTCATGGGTAGTGATTTGGTGCCAATCGCACCACTTCTTTCCGTCTTGTGGCTCTTGGCCGGAGGATGTCTCGTGCTTCCTCCCGCCCCCTTCGTCTTTCTCTTCCTCGTTCTCGGTCAGCGGAAAATACTTCCCTTTTGCCGTCGCACTCCGTGTATCTGTTGCGATACGCCTTTCGCTCCGGGGAGCGCCTCCCATGTCAAGCATCTCCGCGCTCTTGGGGATCGACCCGAGGTTGTCCTTGCAGGTTCCGATCGTCGGTAGCCAATGCTTCCTCAAGTAAGATTGCCTGCCGCACCAACTATTCCAGGTCGAACCATGACGTCAGCGTGGCTTCCTTTTTTATCAGGGTCCTCTTGAGCTCGATGCTAGTTGTGGATATTCTGAGGTTGCTGGTGGCTAAGACCGAGGAGATGCTTTGTATTTCACACGCAATCGCGTCCCACCGGTCATAGAACTCCGTGAGCAATTCCTCTTTCCTTTGTCTGCAATTTATGAGGGCTGAGACGGTGAGCTTACGACGTCGCTGGGATGAAAATTTCGTGGAGAAAAACATCGCGAACTGCTTAAAATTCTCGATTTTCCCTTCCGAGAGGGAGGTGTACCACGTTCGGCATTGACTGCTAAAAGTGACCGGGAACGCAAGACACAAGTCTAAGTCCGACGCGTTACTGAGCTGCATCTTTAGTATATACGCACAAAGATGGTTGGCAGGATCTGAGGTCCCGCTGTATGTTGGTAGTCCTAGGGAGGAGAAGTTAGGCGGGACCGGGGTTTTGAATAGTTCCCTCAATAGGGGGTTTTGGAGAACGCTCAGGCTTTTGGGCTTCCCGTAGGTCGACCACAGGTGTTCCTCAAGGAAGCGTCCACGTCTTTCGCCTCCGGTCCTCCGCCTTCTGTCTGAGCAGAGCTAACAAGGACGTGGACGACCTTCTGCTTCTCCTCACGCGTCTTTCATCTTGAACCTGTGTGGTCTTCTTTCGTTTTCAAGAGCTGGAGGATTTGGGAGAGGCTGTCTTGCATGCTCGCGATATGCAACCCCTGACTTTTGACCACCTCCTCTAGCTATGTTTCGTCCTCGACGTGTTGTTCTCCGTCATCCCTTTGAGAGGGGTCTCGAACTCGTCTCTCATCCTTTCTGCAACGAAGTCGTGAGGCCCCACGGTGGGTGCCAAAATGTTTGTGCCTGGATTGTACCGGACGATTTTGTGAGACCTCACGGACCTCGTGCGGATTTCGATAGACGGGGGGCGATCTCCGAAACCCTGCAAGAAAGGTCCTCAGGGGAATCCTGGGACCTCCTTCGATGCTAAAATTAGAGAGAGAAGTGAATGAGTAATAAATAAGAGAGAGAGAATGGAGTAGATAGAAGTTACCATAAATGTGACCCATTGAAGGGTATTTATACTAGCGCTAGCTGGGGTGACGGCATTTAATGCTCTGTCGGGCGTCTAGGGACGCCTCCGGGCTCATTAAATACATAGTCAGAAGTGTACTTTTTCCAGTCTCCGTACTGAGGTAATCAGGAGACAGCCAAACCCTTTTGTCGGGTGTTCTTCTGGGTTTCCATTGAGAGCAATGTCAAGCAATTTTCTTTGCTACTCGCGAAGACCACCTTCAAATGGGTTGTCTTATGCATTCCGAGCTATTTGAGCAGGAATTGTCTAGTTATGGACTTTTAGTGATCATGGACTTGAGGACCCACGCGTCTTAATGGTTGGCCCAACACTTCTCATCAATTTAAAATGAAATGAAATATGCTTACATATTTTACACATAACTTACACGACTTTATTTTACTATGTAATTCAATCACATTCTTGGACGAAGAAAAAAAATCATCCTCATTTGTTGTACAAAAAGATTACATTATCACAACTCCATGTGAAGCAAAAAGACAAATTTAAGGAGTTGACTTGGGCTGAATATTGATTTCTGTCAAAAGTCCTACTATCAGGTCTGAACAAGTCGGGTAGGCAACTCGAATCCACATTGCCATCTCGAGTTACAAGTGGTAACACTCATGATTCATATATATATACTACTAACTCTGTATAGTCCAATTTGTACACTACATTCCACACAGAAAACAGAAACAATATATGGCAATGCGACTATACAGACTCTATATCGGCTGCTGCATGTCTCCTCTGAATTCTTCTACAGACTGTCTTGTTTCAGCCAACCAAAAAATTGTGTCTAGTTTCTAATCCGTGTTCTTGTAAAGATTGCCTAGAAGTGGCTCTGATGCAGGTGCTGTCAATCACAAATTGAGAAATGAGTTAAAGAGGGTGAAAAGAAATTCATAAGAGGGCAGCAACTATGTCAAAACAAATAGCATTCAAATCCTCACCTTCACGTCCCTGCTTACTACCAGGCATCGGCCGATCAGCCTTTTCAGCAATTTCGGCAATGACTAGACGCGTCAAAAGAAGGCCAGCAATAAGAGCGCAGAGCATCAGCATCACAAACACCAAGTTCCATCCTCTCGTCGATAGAAACCCGGTGAGAAGCGGACCAAGGGCTGCCCCGATTGATCCAGTGCCGTCGATTATCGCAGTGACGGTGGCCAGTGCTCGAGAATCGCCTCTGAGAGAGCTGTGGGTGCCAAGGTCCGCTGACACTGCTGTTGTGATCAGTGCGTATGGTCCATTCACGAACAAGCCAGCAATCATCATCAGTACGATGTTCAGAGTCTGGGAGACACTCCCATACCACCGGTATAAGAGCATGGCTGGGATCGCCATGTACATGAAACTGGCTGCTGTGATAGCTCGAGCTTTAAGTCTATCGGATATGTAGCCAGCAAGAATACCACCGACGATGCCTCCTACGTCAAACAGAGTAGAGAGGTTTCCCGCAGACTTCACGGACATGAAGTGCCCACCAATTGCTGCAATTACAAATGTACACCATTAAATTGAATCCCATTGTAGCACATGTAGAGATGCCAAGTTCTAGACCAATTCATCAAAAGAAAAGATCACATCCTATGAATGTTCATATAGCCATCTCCCCATATTTTCACTGGGGAATACGAATCTCAACCAATCAATTGCTACATTCTACTACTATGCATTCCATGTTTCAAATATGTGGAAAGTGTTTGAATCACAACTAGGATTAACAAAAAAATAAACCAAATCAAGAGTTTAGAAAGAAAACAAAGTTGGTAGAAAAAGTTCTCAATGAAGTGCAGAACCAAACCTGTCTGGCTCAAGTAGAAAGGCAACCAGTACAAGAACGTGTAAGCCACGAGCTTGGAGAAGAACAAGCACAATGCAAACGGTATAACTCCCGGAATCGAACAAGCCTCTAAGAGGCCGACGCTCGTCCTCAGTCCGGATCCACACGGTCCAGGAATACTAGCACCACCACCTCCATCATTCCCACCCTGCTCACCGCCACGATTCTGACCCTCCACATCCCGACCATTCTCATCCGTCGCCATCAACTGACGGTGAGTAAACCCTATATCCTCCGGATAAGGAGCCAGGAACAAGAAAACCAACACCCCACCCAACACAATAAACGCCCCCGGAACAATGAACGACCACCCCCATCCACAGCTCAGCACTGCAGCAGCAAGCAGCGAGCCGCTAATGTTGCCGACGGAGGTGTGCGCGTTCCAAATCCCCATAATCAACCCTCTCTTCCTCTTCCCGAACCAGTTCCCAATCACCGCCACAACGGACGGCCAGCCAGTCGCCTGGAACAGCCCCGCGACCATTTGCATCGCCAGGTAGAACCAAAACACATGAACATTCCAGAGATAACCCATCCCAAACAGCGCGACGAAGATCCCGCTGCCTACCATGCCAGAGGTCAAGAACAGCCTCAGATCCAATTTATCCCCCAAATGTCCCGCTACATACATCCCCAACGAGTAACAGGACAGGAACGCGACATCGATTTCCCCCAATTTCGACGTCCCGTCCTTGCCATTGAACGGCTCCCAACCTTTCCTGCTGCTCTCCGAAAGGGGGGAAGAATTTTGCCCTTGTTCCTCGATGAACACATTCCCAATCGGCCAAGGAAAGGGGTCGTTACCTGAGAGCGGCCGGTTCAGCGGGTCGGGATCGAGGACGCTCTTGACGATGCTGCTAGGTTTTCGAGAAGCGTGGTAGCAGGCGTAGGCGATGAAGGTGACCAGCAAGGTCGCGTACCGGTAAGTTTTCAGGGTCCAATCCCGGCCTCTGACAGCTCGCAGAAGCCGAATCCCTGGCGGAATCTGCCTCACCAGGACGAAATTGGAGTCCATGATTACTCTCTCGTTTCCTTGTTTCGCGATCTTTATCCCCGATTTCAGATGATCGAGAAAACGGAAGGGGGAGAGGAAGGGTCGAGTTGTGGTTTTTACCAGAAAAGAGAGAGGAGAAGAGAAAATGGTCGAGATAAAGGCGGGAGAAGGAAAAGGGAGGGGAGGCATTGGATTTCGGAACGTACAGCCCACGTGGCGCCAAGAGTGGGTCCCGCCTAGTGACGGTGTTACGGCTGCCTCCATGCAACGTGGAATGCTCCTATAGTTCGTTAGGCTCTGTTCATTTGACGTGGTGGCGGTGAGCGCTGAAGTGTCAAGTCCATTAATGCACTAAAAAAAACTGCCTGTAGGCTGTAGCTGTCCCACCTGCCTGTTGGCCAGATTATTTTAATTGATAGTCGAGTGCAAGGTTGTTAAACTCTTATCGAGTCCCTAGTTTAATCTGGTTCGACCAAAATCAGATTTCAAAACGACTTTTAGAAAGTTTTTTGACTGACCACTAAAGTAGGAGAAGAAGAGAGAGAGAAGAGAGGAAGGAGATGTGGGTGGGTCATGGTGCTAGATAGGTTTTATTTCGTGAAAAATAAGTTTTTGATAGATATATGTAAAATAAATTTCATTTCAGTTATTAAATTTTTAAATTACTATTTTTTTATATATATTTAGAAAAAGTATAAAAAGGCTTAAACCGAAAAACCCCCGATTAGGCCGATAAACCTCAAACTCTTTGCTTGACCGGCTATTTACCCATTAAAAAAATTAGTTCGTGCCACATCGATGAATTACTAGAGAATTATTAATGGATTTATAAGGCAAGCTCAACATTAATAATTAAAAAAGCTAGCTGGACCTTGTTGGATTGAGTTTTTGGGCCTAAATGGCCAACCTCCTTCTCCCAAATATGATGGCCGACCCGTCTCCTTGGCCTCCATAGTCGGGCGATGCCTACACCACTTGGTATGAAATTCGGCTCTCAAAAAACTAAATCTGAAAATAAGGCGGCAAAACGGGGTGTCAAACGACAGGGTACCATGCCGACGAAAGAGGCTTGGTAGGCTGAGGGTACAAGGCAGGCAAGAGAGCCGTAGTACCACTACATAAAATTTGGCTAAGTTTGGATACCAATCTAAAAACTAAGTCTGGATACCAAGTCGACAAGGCAGGTTTGATACCAAAAGACAAGAGAATTGACAAAGTATGGAGCCAACAGGGTACCAAACTGGCAAGACAGCCCTGGTACCCAAACATGAAATTTGGCTAAGTATAGAGCCAAATGGGTTACCAAGCCGGCAAGGCGGGCTTGGTACCAAGACACCATCAGGGTGCCAAGCCAACAAACTAGACTTGGTAGCCAAGCAAGAGGTTACCAAGCCGACAAGACAAACTTGGTATCCTAGATTATCAAGACCAAGTATAAAATCTCGAGGGTGGAGACTTGCCAGCCAAGGGACCAAGCCAACATGGCGACAAGGTACCAACTTGATGAGATCTAAAAACTAAGTATGGAGACTAGGCCGACATGGCTGGCTTGGTAAAAGGGGGTATTAAGCCAGAGAGATAACAAGGTACCAAGTTGGGATGAACTTGTTAGCAAGTTGTTGAGAATGGCTTACCAACAAGGCAAGGCGACAGGGTATCAAGCCGATAAGATGGGTTTGATACCAAGATGTCAAGTTGGTGCCACGACAAGCTCTCTAAGATTAAATGTGGAGACTTGGTGGGGAAAGAGTCCAAGTTCTCATCCTGTCTAGGTGGGTAACAAGGCCTAGCTAACAAGAAGAGGATGTCAAGCTGAGAGGCGGGATAGGTAACAAGACGAGATGGTACTAAGTCGGCCACAAAGGAGCTAAGTGCAGGGTCGTTGAGGAGGCCTGATGAGAGGACCAATGTTGTGGAGGCAAGACAAGGAGACCCCCAACCCCATCTAGTCAGGACGAGGCGGTAAGATGGAGTTCAACTCAAATCATCAAGCCTGATGCCAAGCCACCCAGATGACAGTTACCAACCGATCACCAAAGCAGCAATGAGGACCCTTTGGAGCAACAAGCTAGCTAGCAGTTACCAAGGCGGTTATCGAGGCAATTACACCTAGTGGCTATAAATAGAAGAAACTAAAATTGAAAACGGGTTCCACAACCAACCATTTGACACACAATGTCAAACTTTTATCTTTTCTCTGCAAATTAGCCATAGCCTTTGTTTTTGGAGCTCGCACTGTACCTCCATAGGAGTGGGTGTAATTAACGTAGTTTGTTCCCAAAAAACTATCAAACACCCTCGTTCGAACATTGTTCGGAGAGGTGTGAACCGTGTTTAGAATCGTTGTTCAAAAAGTCAAAGGTGCATTTATTGAGTTCAAACACAAGAGTTTTCCTCGCCGGAAAACACCGACTTAATGACTTAAACCGGTTTAACAACTTTGGTCCCGTGCTAAATCGTTTTTTTGGTAGAGTGCTAAATCGTATTGATCTCTAATCCAAAATACAGCAGACATTATTGATGGTTTGACGCTTCTCTCATGGACATTGTCCTATACTAGTAATTCCAAATTTGTATAATATGTGGTTTGATTGGGATTTTTTTTTATGATCGATTAAACTGTGTCTATATACACCATAAATTTCCAATTTATTTTCAACTACTTGTCACTTGATATTTCTTTGAAAATGTAATTTTCTCGTAAGGATTGTACAACTATAGTGGAAGTTGTATCGAAAAAGTACATAATAATATATTTAATTATGGTTTACATCGATTTAAACCGCTAAAACCGTCTACTGATTTGACTTTGATAAAAGATTTTTTGGTGGGGTCACCCCCCACTGTATGATACGATTTTATGACAATGCATAAAAATATTAAAATTATTATAATATCCTGAAATTTTCTATCCATATGAAATTTAAGATATTTTGTATACAAGTGGAGTTTATTTAACCTTAACTTTATTTTTTACACCACCAACTTATAATTTTGATCCCTCCTACAACGACACCCATTTAAAAATAATATTTGATGGGAAAATTGCTACAAACATTATGAATGTTAATTAAAAAATTAAAGAAACGACAAAGAAAAGGAAGTTTAACGGTAAAGGAAGAAATAATATGCAAAAAAAACTGGGCAACCGGAAAAAAAAACATAGGTTGGAATAGAAAATTATTAAGGGCTCGTTTGGAGAATTGGAGTCTAAATTTGTAGATTCTATACAATCCCAAGATTTTAACTCCCTGGATTGTTTAAAAAAAATTTGAAAATGTTCATTGTTTGGTAACTACGATTGTTAACATCCAATGAAAAAAGAAATTCTATTTTTTTATTACATGACATGTTTATCCTTAACCAAAATAATTAAATTGACTCGACAAATATTTAAAATATATTGATAAGGGTATTTAATTAGTAGGATAAATGAAAAAAAGAGATATAGTAGGAGGGAGAAAATCTCCAAAATCAAGATGTAGAATCTCTCTAATTATAAAAGATTTGATATCTCTATATTTGAAAGATTTAAAATCTCTGAAGCTACAATCCATGATACAAAAAGTAGCAAAAAAAAAAAAAACATAACATTTTGCTAACTCTATGGATTCAATTAATCCATGATCCAAATCCTGTTCTCCAAACGACCCCTAAATGAAAAGAAAAACTGAAAGTTGTGTATAGCAAATTGCTTTTGTGTGCCTATGATACTTTCATCATTGAGCTCCTTGCAATGAGTGATGCTCTTCGATAGTGTGTTTTTCATTATGTAACTAAGTTCCTATTTTACAGTGTCCGTAGCTGATCATCCATATGATTAATTAGAAGGATTCAACGCACGTGTTGGGTAGCAGCCTTCTCTTTGAGTTTTGGGTTTCACTTCGTAGATTCGTCTCACGCCACTGTAGGTAGCCTTCTATCTGAAGTTCAGATCCTTCTAGCCTCCTTCTACCCATCTCGTGGCGAAACAAGCCCTCCCATCGTTGGATCGTCGGTTGGTCGACCAACGGCTCTTTCTTAATTCTATTTTGTAATTTGACCTACAAAGGTCTGCTTATTATGTCGTATATGTTGTATTCCCTCTTAGGATATCTTTGACAACAAAAAAAAGTTGTGGATAGCAGAGGATGACTAACATGGATGATTTTGTGCAAAATGGGAACTAGGGTGATCACTACTTGAGGCGTGCTTCGCGAAAACTCTGGTGATTGCCACGGAGGATTCTGTGCAACAATGGGTACATGATCAGCTCTGATTGCTGAACTTTGGGGAATCTTCTATGGTATTTAGCTCTCATGGAAAAAAGGAATCCAATTCCACATTGTCGAATTAGATTCAAAACATTCAGTCGACTTGATCAATAAGCTCTCGGACCCGATACACCCCCATGCTACCTTGCTAGGCGTGATTCGTCGGATGTTTGCTCAAAATTGGATGGGTTGTCTAATTTATACCTATCACGAGGGGAATAGAGTCGCAGGCTGGCTCTCGAAACAAAATCTCGTGTTTCCTTATATTAGGTTGGCTCTCGAAACAAAATCTCGTGTTTCCTTATATAATTATATATAATTGGACCAGACTGGTGCACTTTTGGAGTATACTATACTCCAGGTATATTTATCAATATATCTTTATCTAGATCATGAATTAAATCAAGTTTGAGGTATGATACTATACCCTACCTCTAATGGATAAACTCCAACCCCTGATTCTCTAAACTCAAACCAGAAAGTTCAATTTAATAAAAAATATTAAGCGACCGTTGAGATTGGCCATAGTTCAAAAACGAAGATCTAATGACCAGATCACTTGGAGTATACTATACTCCTGGAGTATACCAGTCATTACATATATAATCATATATAATGAAAAACAAAAATTGACCGTTGAGATCGGCTGGAGCTCATCTAAGTGCATCTAACGGCTAGATCACCTGGCATATAGTATACGCCTGACGTACACCAGTCATCACCATATATATATATATATGGTGGCGTCTTCGGTGCACTCACTTTTTTGGGTGCATTCAGTGCACTCACTTCAAAACCGTCATTTTAAACATGCGATTTATGTCAAAATGATGTCAATCATCACTTATGATGTGATGAACAATAACGCACATGAATTTGCACAAAAATTCATTGAAGATTTACTTTAATTTGAAAGATTTAGGGTTAGGGTTAGGGTTTACAATTTGGGGTTTAGGGATATGACTCAAAATTGGAGGTCTAGGACTTAGGGTAATCCACTAATTAGTTGTTATCATATGTTATATCATCATATTACACTAA